TATATACTGTATATGATATATATATATATATATATATATATATATATATATATATATATATATTTACACACATACACTGTATATAGTATATATATATATATATATATATATATATATATATATATATATATATATATATATATATATATATAAGTATATAAGTATATATATATATATATATATAAGTATATAAGTATATATATATATATATATATATATATATATATATATATATATATATATATATATATACTTATATATGCCTATGGGTATATATGTGTCCTTGTACATATATCGTATATGAATATTTATATATGTATATGTATATATCTCTACATATATGTGTATATATGATATATTTACATGTATATATATAATTTATCTACATACACACATACACACACACACACACACGTGTGTGTGTGTATATATATACACGCACATATGTACACACACGCACACGCGCGCGCGCGTGCTTCCGTACCCCTGTTTCTGCCTACCTGTTAATTTCTCTCCTGTCACCCTTTCTCCCTCCATACTTTCCATCTCCTCTTTCTCTCTCCGTACCATCCCTCTCCCAATCTTCATTCAGACCCTCCCCTTCCCTTTGCTGTATAATCCTCCTTCCCTCTCATTTCTTTACGAGAAACGAGTGGTCAAGCAATGGCCCGACGCTTCACTTTCTATGTTTGGAAGTCGTGCATTAGTTATGCTCAAGGCCTTCAGCACGGGGGACGGGGGAGGGGAAGAGGGGGTGATGGGGGAGAGGAGAGAAGAGGAGAAGAGAGGAGAGAAGAGGAGAGGAGGGGAGTGGAGAGGGTATGAGAAGAGAGGAGGGGAGAGGAAGAGGGAGAGCAGATGCGATGACAGACAAGACGAGGAGAGAAGAAAAGAAAGGAGAGGAAATGAGATGAGATAAGAGGAGAGGCAAGGCGAGGAGAGGGGATGGGAGAGGAGGAGAGGCAAGACAAGGAGATGAGAGGGAAGAAGATGAGAGGAAAGGGTGCAGAGAAGAAGTGTGGGTCCTGAGGGGAAAACTCGAAGGGAGGGAAAGAATAGGAAATGGCGGGGGAATAATTTTTTCATTATTTAATTGCATGTTCTGTTAGGTTTGGATTGACCCGAAATAAAGCATAATACTTCAGCATATAAGTACGCACAGATGTATGCGTGTGTCCATGTGTGTACCTGTGTCTGTTTTCTGTACCTGTGTGTGTTTTGTGGACCTGTGTGTGTTTTGTGTACCTGTGTGTGTTTTATGTACTTGTGTGTGTTTCTCTTCCTGTGTATGTGTAAATATAGAAATTCGAACATGAATAGAATAGAAGCAATATATGAACAGTAAGGAAACAGAAAGAAAATTCATCAGGCGAAAGCAAAGGAGGTCACCAGAAGACAAAAAAAAAAAAGCTAGCAAGTCAGCAGAAATAAACGCAAGTGCGCGAAAAGCTGAATTACAAAGAAAGATCCTTGACCTGAGACGCCGAGACCAGGTTTCCAGATGCATAAATTTATTACACGACAGCGAATTCGAGTGGTTTTGAGAACGCGATAGAAGATTATTGGATAAAGCATCACCAAAGCAAAGGAGAGATTGGAGAGAGAAAAAAAATAGCAATAGACGTTTCTTATTGGCCGAAAAGGGAAATAATAAGATTTTCCCTAATATCCATTTCATAAGATTGGTATCTATATAAGATAAGGTATCTTTATTTCCTTAGGATTAGTATTGATAAATAACAAGGCATTTTTTCCTCCCCTAGGACTGATATTAACAAAAAAATAAGGTATTTTTCCTTTCCTAGGATTGGTAACAACAACAAAAAAAGGAATAACCAGACGAAAGAGCAAAAATACCCAGAGAAGAAATAAAGAAGAGGAAAACTATAATGAAGAGATCAGTCCCAGCCATTACGGCAGATAAAAGATAGCCGCCAACGTTAACATGAGCCTATGATCAAGGGTAATGCAGACATGACATGATAAGACGATATGGAGAAGGCGAGATACCTAATCAGCTGACTGGAAACGCTATCAGAACTCGCAAACATATTACTTTCACTGATAATGATAATATATATTCAACACTTGCAGACGGCTGGGATTATGAATAAGACACCGAGGCGATTTTATCTAATTGAACTGATATCATATGCAGTATTTTCTGATTATTATTGGGGTTATTATTGAAGGTCCTATTGTTCTGATTCCTACTGAAGAAATGTATCTTAGGGAACAGACACGTTTGGAGATAGAGCGCTGACATCAAGCTAATCTAGGTTTGAATTTATAAGTAAAAGTACTTCGAAAAAAAGAAAAAGATAAAAGTAAAAACACTAAAAGATCGTCTTTCATTACTGCTTATGACATGCGCATGACAGGACGTAACAGCTGAAATTTAGAATGAGATTTCATTTTCATTTTTTTTTCGAATGCTATTTCTTTTTACTTACATGGCGATTTTCCTTAGTGCAAGAACTCAAAATTATGAACTTTCTTC